GTCATAGTCATAGAATCATTTAGGTTGGAAAATACCTTTACGAGCATTAAGTCCCGCAGTTAACCTAGCACTGCCCAGTCCACCACTAAACCATGTCCCTAAGCACCACATCTACATGTCTTTTAAATACCTCCAGGGATGGTGACTCCACCACTTCCCTGGGCAGCCTGTTCCAATGCTTGACCACTCTCTTGGTGAAGAAATTTTTTCTAATACCCAATCTAAACCTTCCCTGGCCCAACTTGAGGTCATTTCCTCTTGTCCTATCACTTCTTACTTGGGAGAAGAGACTGACACCCACCTTGCTACAACCTCCTTTCAGCTAGCTGTAGAAAGTGGTAAGATCTAGCAGTCCAGTGCCTCTGTGGGTACCTCCCCTATCACCAGCAGTAACTGATTATGTTCCCCTTAACAACAGCAAAAATCAATGCTAAAAAGTACATTTCAATCCTAGGTAGGGGAGAAATTGGCCATGCTCCCCTTAAAGTTTCGTGATTTCTGAATGTTTTGGTATGAGGCATTTGTTCATGTTCTCTCCTCCTCTTCGCTGTGTTCACTCCGTCCTTCTGCTCTGGTAAAGGCAGCTAGGAGAATGAATGAAGCTGGAACCGCTCCATGCAGTAGCATGATGGGGGGTGTGTTTAGTCTGGAGAAGAGAAGGCTGAGCGGGGACCTTATAAATACCTGAAGGGTGGCTGTCAGGACGATGGAGCCAGTCCCTTTGCAGCAGTGCCCAGTGATAGGATGAGGGGCAATGGGCACAAACTGCAGCACAGGAAGTTCCACCTCAACATGAGGAAAAACTTTGCTGTGAGGGTAACGGAGCATTGACACAGGCTGCCCAGAGAGGTTGTGGAGTCTCTTTCTCTGGAGACCTTCAAAACCCGACTGGATGTGTTCCTGTGCAACCTGCCCCAGGTGATCCTGCCTTGGCAGGGGGGTTGGCCCAGATGATCTTCAGAGGTCCCTTCCAACCCCCACCATTCTGTGATTCTGTGTGCATGTAGCACATGAACAACACAGTTCATGTCCTCCTTGGTGACCCATACACTGTGGGTCAGATCCCCAGGCACACAGGTTGATTTGGTTGAGCTGTGCTGTTACGGCTTCTGAGGAATATCACTAGAAGGAGGGCAATGTTACTATCTCAGTAGCACCCTATTGAAAATATTTCTTCTTCCACCTCCCTTCCCTGTCCATTAGTATTTTGTGAAGGCTTTATATATTCAAGGGATATATGAGGAATGAAGACTGAGGGGAGAATTTCCTTCTCTTTTCAAAGTAGATGTAATATCAAAATCAGTATAACACCTAGTGATTCAGTGCATTTTTGAGTTCTGGGAAAATGGCATAAGAAGTAGCCAGAAGTAACCTAGTCGCTTGGATGTTTTCCCCATATATATTACCATATCATCAGATTGGATGTTCTCAAGTAGTTTGGATTTCCATGCTAAGAAAAGGTGAAGTTTTATCTTTCCTGAGTTACACATGTGCAATGAGCTCACAGAGGGTAGCCTAGACTGATACCTTCTGTATCTGTCAGCAACAAAAAGCACTTGGGATATTTTTGTTCCTGTTTGTTATAGCAATGGTCACTTTGCTGTCAAGGTGTGATTTCATCCATCAGATGGTTACTCTCTAAAGGAATGGTTTCTCTGTGTGTGGTGTCTTTTGGAATAGGTGATTTAACATTAAAATAAGTGGAGAGAATAATACAGTAATTTTATTTCTGTACCTTACTGTGCTTTTGGTGTGGCTGATGTAATGAAATAACTTTTCTTGAAAAGTGCTACTTATTTTTAATTCAGAGAAGTTGGACTTTTTTAATAACACTGTATCTGGAGAGAGTGGCAGTTCAAGGTGTGATGAGCAGTCCATTTTTTCTTGATTTTATTCCAGCAAGAGTTAGCTCTAGCTGAAAACACCATGATTTAATGACTACTTAGTTGTGTGTCACTGTAAAATGAGGCAGCATTGCCACACAGGTCAAATCTTAGGGGGCATGTATTTTTATTGTGTGCAGGAGCAAAAGGACACTCGGCGCTCTTGTTGAAAGCCCCAAGAAAAGATGAGGTCAAAGTCGGATTGAATTTGGCGATTGACCTACTTTCTCACCACTACAAGTGTTACTTCTGGGCAGAGGGTGAGGCACTCCAGGGTAGAAGTGGGCAGGATGTTTATACAGTCGATAACTTTTGCTCTGGTAATTTTGTGATAACGGATTTTAATCTCCCATGCTGTCAGTTATTTTCACATCTTAATGCTCACTGATAGAAGGAAGCCTCAGAAGCTGGTCTTATTCTTTCATGATAAAAACAGTGCATAAACAGATAACACTCTCTTTCGATCCCATGGTGGTGGTGTTCAGTGACTTAATTTCAAATTAGTATTTCTCTCAAATGACTCCAGCAAATAAATAATACACCAACACAAGAGCTAAGAGCGTGGCATTGTAAGTCCCTTTTGTACTCTCAAAATCTCTTTCAGATTAAAATAATGTCCAAGTAGTGTGACATGTCCTGTCATGAGGTTAATGTCCAGATCTCTTCCAGCTCGAGGTGGGCTGAAATGGGAAGGCTGCTGTCAAGTCATGGTGTCTGAGGATTTATGTGACCCTGAAAGAGTACGAGCAACTTACAGTGTCTTTTCCTGAAGCTGTATGTGCACTAGAGAAGCAGCACCCAGTATTGCTGTAGCCAGAAAGAAATTAGAGGAAAAATAAATCTTTTTCTCCCTGCTGTTTGCTTGTTATGTGCATTTGACAGTGCTTTGTATTGTGTTTTTTTTAGCCTGCTTATATACAACTGGTGAGTCAACAGGGAGGAAGAAAAACCACATATGTAGATTTTAACAGAATTTAGATGGAAAAAAAAGAGAAACTGTGTAAAGGGCAGATCATGAGAAAAATGAGCTTTCTTGAAATTAATCAAAAAGAAAAAAAAATATACTCCAAATACAGCATCTCTTTAATTAGCTCCAGCAGTTCTGCTAATGAGTGCTGAAGATCACTCTCTTGGCCTCGAAGATCACCGTTATAGCTGATGTACCACCTGCACGTGTCTGCCTTGGTGTCCCCCTGAGAGCTTTCCTATTCCAGGGCTCAGACCCAGGCACGACCCCGTGAGAGCTGTCCCTCGGGGCCGGGAGGGAGCGCAGCCGCCTCCCTCCTGGCTGGGCGCGCCTTGGACCCTCCCTGCAGCACCGTTTTAGTGGCCCTTGGCCTGATTCCGGTGAGATTTCTAACTTTGCATGACACGATGTTGTCCTCTTAATCTGATGCGAGACGTTCCTCCAGGCGGAAATGTTAAGGTTCAGTATGGAGAGACTGATTTTTTTTTTTTTTTTGAATGGTTACGTGTAACTCCAAAGTTGATTATCAAGAATAAGCTTCAAACATAAGTATTTTTGGTAGACAACTCATGTTTTATTCGGGGATAAATGAGTATGAATTCATGTTTTATAAACACACTGGGTATTCTGAGGTTAACGCCTCTGACTCAAGCCCTGCTCTGTTTCTCCTCCACTTCTAGAAGTTTATTTTAAGCTGTTTCTTAAGTTTTCTGCTTTCCGTGCATTGAAGCAAGAGGGAATATTGTCGTATCAGGTGTATGTTTTTCCTCATTTCTGAATTGCTAGACTCCTGGTGATGGGGAGAGGGGAAGGCGGTGATTTATTATGACTTATTTTTCTACTCAGATCCCCCATTGCTTGTTTAGTTTTTTAGCTGGTGTAAAGAACTGAAGATCTATCCTTAAGCCTCCAGTCTTTGGTCCTGAAACTTGTTAAAAGTAATCAAAATCTTTTGACTTTTGAGCTTTGGATGGAGTCCTCCAGGAACAGGTTGCTACACAGACTTGCTGGGGGATCATTACTTGCTTTCTATTTTCTTCATCTGCTATTCACTTACTGCAGTATATCCTCTTTCTCCACACTCTGCTGTATCCTTTCAGTTTGTTTCAGAGGAATTGGAGGCGGCGGACACGTGCCTGCTCCCTTGGGACTTAGTCTGGTGTGTACACACCATGCCAGAGAAAATGGAAGAAAGTCAGTGATGGTATGGAGGAGACAAAGGTGCAGGTGGTTGGAACACAGCAGTACTTGTCCAGCCTCACAGCTGCCAGCCCTGTGAAGGATTAGGGGCTGTTGTCCCAGGGGCTCAAACCAAGATTTTTCTAAGCACAGCAGTATGCACCATCGAACTGTATAGTCTTTGTGGTGAGGAATGAGAACAAAAAGGCACTTGTTGAGTTTTTTTGTGTCTGTTTCTGTATCTCATACGGTCCTGGGGAGGGAAGGTAGGGGACAAAAGCTTTGTCTTATCTCAGCTGCTGGGCTTCCTTCCTTAGAAAGAAAATAGAGTTTATTTGGATAGTGAATGGTGGTTTTAATTTTTATCTATCTTTCTCAAGTGTCACTCTAATGGAAGTTAAACGTAGGCTCCCCACCCCACCCCAAGAGCTATGCAGGGAAAGTGTGAACTCCCTTCCCTGCTCTGTTATCTAGACTCTCTTCTTTCTGTAAAAAGTTTGTTTCAAATTCAAAAGTCTAACTTGCTTTTCAGATGAGAGAGTTTTTTTGTCCTGTGTGTTTTTGAAATATTTTGTTAGAAAAAATGGTTTTAATTTTTATCTATCTTTCTCAAGTGTCACTCTAATGGAAGTTAAACGTAGGCTCCCCACCCCACCCCAAGAGCTATGCAGGGAAAGTGTGAACTCCCTTCCCTGCTCTGTTATCTAGACTCTCTTCTTTCTGTAAAAAGTTTGTTTCAAATTCAAAAGTCTAA